ATTTTAGAGGGAGAGGATAGAAACATCAATGAGAGAGAACATCGACTGGCCGCCTCTTGCATGCGCCCACTGGGGATTTGGCCCACAACCTGGGCCACACCAGCCGGGCAACAGTGAATCTTAAAGGGAGCATGTAAAACACATTTTTTCCCAGACTATGCTCACATCCAGTTATTTCAAATGCAATGTGGCTAGGAAGTTTGCCATTCTCCCTCAGGAAAGAGGCTATGGTTCAAGAAGTTAAGGCTATTGCAAGTTAGTATTTAGCCTTCACCTATCACCCCATATGGGTTCTTTTTTTTTTCTTCAATTTTTATTTATTTATTTTTGTTACAGATGTATCTCCTTTTTTCCCCCCTAGATACCCTCCTTCCCAGCTCCCCTCCCCCATATGGCGTCTTGCATTCACAAACATGTGCTAGGCATTGGGGAAGCAAAGAAAGAAGAGTAAGACACAGATCCTGCCCTCCAGGATCTCAAAGGTAGCTACAATATATGATAAGAGCTGTAACTGAGTAATGAGAGAAAACAAGTTGAAAGGAATAGCTCTCCACCCCCCAACCCAATAAGTAAATCATAGGTTTCTTTTAAAAAGTAACATCTAAGCAGGATCTTAAAGGATGGCAGGAGTTCATCAGATGAGAAAAAAGGGACACACATTTCAGTCAGGGGAGCAGCATGTTTAGGAGATATAAAATGATTTAGTGTAGCTGGAACTTAACAATACATGGTGGGGAGTATTAAGAAAGGTAGAGAGTAGAGTGCTGAGAAGAGCTGGAGAGAAAGCCTGTGGATAAGTTTTATTCTAAAGGCAATAGACAATTAACTGATTTTTAGGCAGGGGAGCAGCATGATTAGACTTTTTAGAGGAAACTGCAGGCTAGATGAAAGATGAACTGGAGTTACAAGGAACTAAGACCATAACATCAGATAAGGATGTCAGCTGGTTATTCAAATAGTGTCTCACAGACTCTTGTGGTGGAGTACTGGAGTTCAGGATCTCATATTTGCCCTGCAAGATAAACAATCTGATTTTTCTAATGCATCAAGGATGGAAATATACTTGAGGATTGATTCACAATAACCTAGTTCATAAGAGAATGTGGTAATGCCTGGGCCCATTTGGCTCAGTGGTTGGAGCGTTGGCCTGCGGACCAGAGAGTCCTGGGTTTGGTTTCTGCTTGGGGAACATACCAGAAAAAAAAAGAGAATGTGGTATCAAGTATAATTCTTTTTTTTCTTTATTGATTTTAGAGAGGGAGGAAGGGTGAAAAAGAGAGAGAGAGAAACATCGTTGAGAGAGAACACTGATTGGCTACCTCCTGCATGCCCCACACTAGGGACCAGGCCCACAACCTGGGCATGTGCCTTGACCGGGAATTGAACCGGCAACCTCTTGGTGCATGGGTCGATGCTCAACCTCTTAGGTACACGGGCTGAGTGCAAAACTAACTCTTAAAGGCCACATGTAATTAGGTACTCATGGATGAAAAGGGTTGAATAGATCTGGATTTCTATACGGATAAGAATCTCTATTTAATTACATTTTCCATAAATATCACCCACAAGGATGTATGGGCTTACTTACCAAGTAGAAAGAGTACTGGACTAAGACTCATGAGATCTGGGTTCTAGTTCAAGTACCACCACTATTTAATTTTAAGTCACAGCCTCAATAGGCCTGCTATTTTATGGGCCAAGTGAAGAGACTATGAAGTATTTTAAAGCCTATGAAAACATAAAATTTAGTATACAATTTAAGCATTATAATCATTAGCTTACTTTGGGCAGCTGGACATTTGGAATGGTGCTGAGAAGATTCCAGAGTAAAGATTCCAGTAGTCTGTTTCTGGATTTCTCATTATTTTTTGTGGACTCCATAACATGGCTTTTATATCTATAAAATAGGAAAAACACAATGAGTTCCCTCACCATCATGGGAAGAAATAAATAAATGCCCATGTTTTACAGAGATTCCTAAGTAAAATAGGTTAGGAAAATAAAAATGATGATTTGTATTGATGCTCTTATTAGCTTAGTCTTAGTAGGATCTATCTCTTGGAAAACCTGAAAAAAAAAAAAGTCACTTTGTGACTTTTGCCAACTCCCAAGGGAATTTTGGCTTTCCCTGGAAAACAAACTTCTACCTTTGGGGAAATCGCCAAAGAAAGTCTGTTGTAAGCAGCTAGTTTAGGGAGGTCATGTCTGGTACCATGCTGTGAAGGAAAATAAAAGTGATCACAAAAGTGATCAAGACTACTTGCTAAGCATACCAGTATTTTCCAAACAGGAACTGGAGGTACAAGAGGCCTCATCAAGACTTTGTCTTTGTTAGTGTGAACTGAGTAACTTGAGGGTAATTTCCTATGAGCTACTCTTCACCTCGATCATTTTTCTCCCTTTGTTTTTTCCTCATTTCATTTGTCTTGTCTCAGTCTTCATTTTCCTTGTCAAACAAGCTTTTCAAAAACGTTGGCCAAACTGTTTTCGGTCTCCCCTTCAAGGCCTTCCCACTCAAAGTGATTTGGGATTGTCATGTCCTAAATATCTGTTACCTCTCAGAGATCCAGGAGGAAGTAAATGGCATACACCCAGTGTCTCTCAACCAGTGGTGATTTGGTAATGTCTAGAGACTTTTTGGTTGTCACAGCTAGGGGGAGAGTGCCACTGGCATCTAGCATAGCAATTTTTAATCAGTGTGCTGCAAGAATTTTTTTTTATCCTCACCCGAGGACATTTTTGCATTTATGTTCAGATAGAGCAGGAGGGAGAGAAGGGGGAAGAGAGAGAGAGAAACATTGATGTGAGAGACCTACATTGAGTAGTTGCCACCCACACAACCCCAGCTGGGGCCAGGGATGAACTGCAACTGAGTTATGTGTGTGCCCTTAGCAGGAACAGAACCCAGGACTCTCTGGTCTGCAGGCCGATGCTCAAACCGCTGAGCCAAACCAGCCAGGGCAATGCAAGAATTTTTAAAACATGTAATACCTGAATATTTAGTTAGGGGCCCTGACCTCTTTCCCCTTAGACTGTCAAAAAAAAAAAAAAAGACACAACCAACATAACAACTGCCACCCAGTGTGAGTGAATCAAAGTTATACTTTTTTTGTCAGATGGGCAAAAAATTTTTTGGTATGTTACAAAATTTTAGTTTATGTGTGCCATGAGATGAAAAAGGTTGAAAATCGCTGATCTAGTGCTTGGAGGCCAAAGATGCTGCTAAAAACCCTATAATGCACAGAACAGCTCCCAACAACAAAGAATTATCTGGCTCAAAATGTCAATAGTGCTGCTCTTGAGAAACCCTGATATATATAGATATCAGTAAAGATTACTGAGGAGTCAGTGCAGCTTTTTTAGGGATGCGGATCCTCAAGGTGGGAAAGTGGCTGCCACTGGCATCAATTTGTCTGGACTTCGATCTCCAGGTTCCCTGTTTTTGCTGGCTGTATGACTTTAGACTAATTATTCAATGCCATGAAAAGGGGCTAATAAAGTATTATTCTCATTAAGCTGTAAGCTCCTTGGAGACAAGAATCTAATTTTACCTGCCCATGCTTATATTAGGGCCCAGTACACAATGGAGAGTACTAAATATTTGTGAATTATTTCCCACAGTTGTTTTGAGGCCTCAAGCAAAGAACACTGTGATATGCAGCACAGTGAGGAGAAAAGCAGCCCCTAACAGTGGGGGCTAGGTTGACACTATGAGCTATTAGGTGATATGAAGCACTGTGAGGAGAAAAGCAGCCCCTAATAGTGGGGGCTAGACCTACACTATCAGGTAGGATATGTTGCCCTGTTGAACATAAACAATTTCACAGGACACCAACATTAGACAAAGCCACTCTGTGACCATGATGGATCAAGAAAAAAACAAAACCACTCCTTAATCATGCCTGAATACAAACAAAAAAGATCATTGTCCCAACTGCAAAAAGACCAAATATTCCCCTACCCTGGTTAACGTGAGGTACTGCTGCTTCTTAACCAATCATAGATTTTACCCTCTCCTGGTTTTTTTCCTTTATAAATTAAGAATACCCCATCATAGAATTACCTCCACTTAATAGCATCCAATCCAGAGAGAAGGCCTGCTTCCTTGAATCCGCCCCCAAATCACCTAACACAAGTCCAAATCCTGTTAGTTCTTTCCAGCATCCTCTTTGTGAGATGCCCACTGTTCCTTACGCTGTCTCCCCTTATTGCAAGGAAACAAGCCCAACTTTGTTCAGCGATAGGGGTGTTCTTGGAGGTCTGTGGCTGGAGAACGTTAAGGAAAGTGAGAGCTCCCTAAAGGGCAGTTGCTATTCTTATGCCTCAAGGGGAACAGCATGATGCACCCACAGCGTTCAAGCAAAGACTTCATCAACAAATGTTTTGAGACTTCCCGACCGCCTGCTCTTGCCAGGCCGTTTCTCCTCAGGGTAGTCTCTTCCCTTTGGTCTACAGAGAGGAGGCTTTTGGTTTCCGACCTCCCAAGCTGAAACCCAGCATGTTAGGTTAAATTTCCCGTGACGGAACACCCCCTAGTGAGGCGAGCACCTCCAGCTCCAATTTGGAATTCCTCAGACACTGAAACACCCCAACAGGGCAAGGCGGAGGTAGTAGCAGGAAAACTAAAGCCCCAACGAGTTCACATGATTGAGAGTCTTATCCACCACCCTAACCCAGGAGAAATGGCCCTGAATTCACTCTACAAACAGTGAGGAACAGCGCGGACTCTCTCCTCCGCGAAAGGCTGAGGTAAAATTCACCACCTGCAAAACCAAAACTTCCCGGCAGCCTCCCTCAGATGTCACGCACACGCACGGGTCGCTGAGCGGCTGCCGCGCAATTGTCCGCCTCTTCTAGGACTACAAATCCCGGCTTGCCAGGAGACGCGGCGTCGCTGGGTAACTCGCGCCACACGGAGCGCGTTAGGTCAGCTCCTCGGCGCGCCTGCGCCCTGACGGGCTCTGCGCAGGCGCATTTCCACGCTTGGGAGTCGAGGGCGGGGTGTCGTTCTCTTTCGCTGATGCAAGAGCCTAGTGCGGTGGTGGGAGAGGTGTCTGTGAGATCTGTGCCGCCGCTGAGGCCTGGGGCTGACCCGTCCGACTTCCCGTCCGTACCGAGCCCACTCGAGTCGCAGCCATGTCCGGGGACGAGGTAAGGGCTTTAGCCTGGCGTTAGGGCTGGGAACTGAGGCGGGGAGCCGAACCCATCCCCGTGTGGGAGACCGGGTGTGCGGCCTAGCGGCCGGCCGCCATGTGGGACAGCCGGGCCTAGGCGGCCCGGAGCGGTGGAGCCAACGAGGACTCCGGAGCCGCGGGCTTGGCTGCATCTCGCTCTCCTCAGGGTGGCGGTGCTGAAGCCGGCGCTTCCGGAATGGAGAGTACGTTGAGTCGCTCACCCAGAATGAGGCTTGAATGCCGGTTAACGTCCCAACTGAACGAGATTGGGGCTGGCGACCCCTGCATCCCTTTCGATGTGACACTGCAGCTCCAACAGTCCTCGCCGGCGCCGGGGATGTCAAGAGGAGCCTCCCTGAGCTCCGCTGGAGCATTCTTGTTAAAAACTCTCCGGCTTGCTCGTCCTTGCCGGTAACCGCCGTTGTTCTCATCGGGAGCATTATTCCTTAAAAAGACCAGGAGATGGAGGAGATGGGGCGAGAGGTCAAGATGCTTTGGCCTCAAAAAGTGACTAGCCTCGGAAAGTTTTAGGGTGGAGTCCCTGAGTTTTCCTTCACAGAGTCCACAGCGACGGGAGCGGGAAGTCCGGGCTGCGAAGCTGGCTGGATCTTTTTCTACCGTCGGGCTTGTACCTCAGCAAATGTCCTCAGATCCCTTTTGGCCAGATTTATCTTAGTTCATGTAAAGTCCAACGGCTTAAAATGAAATTGGATTTTAAGTGTTGCCTGTAGGTATTCATTAACACCGTGGGGAGAGCTACCGCTTCCCAGCCAGCTCTCCTCACCAGAAAAACAGGCTCTCGAATTTGTAATTCAGTAATGTAAACATTCGAGTGCTTGGACTATAGGGCCTTGGAGAGAAAGAAGAGGACAGATTCGAGGCTTTGTGGAGCGTCGGTTTCTGAGGTAGTTCTTGAGCGGTCCTCAGCGTTTCCTCTCGCAGTGGAAAGGCCTGATCACAGGGCAAGGGGGTGGTTAAGAAGGCAGGTAAGTGTGCTCACAGAAAGTAGCACAATTTGGTTAGAGTTAATTCTTTAAAATGTAGTTAGTGGCTAGTTCATGGAGGGATTTGAAGACCAAATTAAGAAATTTGGGTTTATTCCGGAGGGGACTCCAGTCTCTCATTTGATTTCCACAAAAACCCCGTAAGATAGGCTCATTTTATGGATGAGAAAACAGGCTTAGAGTGTTGTATCATGCCCACGATCAAATAGTAAGTGGCTAAACCAGTAGTAGAATTCCAGATCTATGGAGTATTTAATCCTCCATCTAGGTGACTAGGAGGCTCCCTTGCTCTCTTAGGCGAAACTGAGGGTCTAAAGGAAGTAGGTGATTCTTGCTTGGAGGTCATGGTAGACATTGCTCTGGGCTACTGTATTTCAAAGTTCTGAGAGTGGCACTGTTTCATGTTTATTTTTTTTCTACACATGTTCTAAGCTCTTCATAACCTTGGACAAGGAAAGTGCTTATGTAGTGCAAAGTACTGTGGGGTGCTATATTCTTTGTGTGATTTCTATGGTAAAGTGCTCACAAGTGGTGTAGGGGAGGTGAGAGAGATCTACAGGAGGTAGAAAAAGCCATCAACATAGAGATTTTGGGGCTGGAGGATTCACTTTTAGCAGTGGGATCAGTTTTTGAAGGAAGTGGAATATAGCAGAACCAGCATTCCAGTAGAGAACTTTGGAAGCCAATAAAGTATTATAGCTGCTTGCCACTTTTTAGGTCTACCAGTCCAACTTCATTTTATAGACTGGAAACTGGAAACTATGGTCCAGAGCGGTTAACTTGCCTAAGATCACACAGCAAATCAGTGGGACTAGATCTTTTGACTTCCAGTCTGGAGTGATGTGAAGGTTCTAGTTTCTCCAGTATTGTTGACTAGATAACTATTAGGCCAATCCTTAATTTCTGACTACTTTACAGACAAGTGAAAATCTGTACCTGGAAATAGTTAAAATAAACTTTCTTTGTTTATTTCAGAGAGAGAGAGAGAGAAAGAGAGAGAGGAGTGGAGAGAGAGAGAGAGAGAGAAAAATTGATTTGTTGTCCTACTTATTTATGCATTCATTGGTTGATTCTTGTATGTGCCCTGACCAGGGATCAAACCTGCAACCTTGGCATACCAGGATGATGCTCTGACTAACTGAGTTATCTGGCTAGGGCATTACACATTTCCTTTTAAACCTGGTAATTAAGCCCGGCTGGTGTGGCTCAGTGGTTGAGCGTCAACCTGTGCACCTAGATGTTGCCGGTTCTATTCCTGGTCAGGGCATATGCCCAGGTTGTAGGCCCAATCCCCAGTGGGGGGCATGCAGGAGGCAGCCAGTCAGTGTTCTCTCTCATTGATGTTTCTGTCTCTCCCTACTTCTCCCTTCCTCCCTCTCTAAAATCAGTAAAGGAAAAAAATAAATAAATAAACCTGGTAATTAAGCCAAAACTCACCAAAACATAACCTCTTTAACCTAGTAGAACCAAGACCTTTAAAAAGCAATATTCTAGAAATGTAGGTGCTACCTAGTAAGGAAAAATTCCCTAAAGTGCTGTCAGAAGTTAAGATTATTTCTTATTACTAGACTCCATTCACAAGGTGTCAGAACATTGGGTTTTCACACAACATGGTAAGGTGATTTACAAAAGAAGCTTTAAGCTAAAGAAGTTTCTGATTAAAAAATGGAATGTGTGTTGTACAGAGTGTACAAAATACAGAAAAATGCAAAGAGAAAAATCTAGAATCCCATTGACCAGAAATGACAACACTTGGCATTTGTTCTGTTCACCTTGCTTCTTTAGCTTCTAAGCCCAATATCAGCACCTATTTGCTTCTCAGATTCAAACAAGTCTCATAAAACATTTGGAATGTGATTAATTTCTTGTCATATATAAAAGCCATTATTTTTAGTCAGGACTGACATGGCCTTGTGGTTTAGAAAAGGTCTTCTTTGGGATCCCTGGTTCCCTTAATTTTAACTGAGTGGTGTGAATAAAAAGAGGTGATGAGTATATGTCTTAAGTATCCAGAGACAGTAATTAAGAGATTATTATTTCAGTGTATAATTCCTGCATGTTTCATACTCTTTACAAGGCTACAATCAAACTGTTAACCTGTAGGCCTAAATACAAATGTTTTTCAGAGGATAAGAAGGCAGCTGTGAGGCTGTCCTCTTCTGATTTCAGGATCCCTCCCATCTTTGGTCTGTCTGGATGAGTAATAGTTAAAAGATAATTAATATCCCAGGGAAGTTGCTACTAGAAAAAAGAATGCAGTAAATGAATTGTAAGCTCTGCCAGACAACCAGACTTATAGGACCTGGAGTGCTATCTGTCCTTTTGCCAAATCTCCGTGTCTCAGGAGTGCAAGTGAACTATAGCTACCTCTTTAGGGTGTTGACCTGTGGCTTAGTAGGTCAGTAGTGGGGAATTCCTTCCTCCTGGCTCTTCTCTATTCTCTTCTTTTTTTAAATTTATTTTTTATTTATTGATGTTAGAGAGAGAGAGAGAGAGGAAGGGAGAGGGAGAGATAGAAACATTGATGAGAGAGAACATCGATTGGTGGCCTCCCACAATCCGGGCATGTGCCTTGACCTGTAATCGAACTGGTGATCTCTTGGTGCATGGGTGCATGGGTGCATGGGTCAACGCTCAACCACTGAACCACATCATCTGGGCATTCTGTTCTCTTCTTTAAGTTTGCTAAATTAAGTTCTTCACACTGACTGCATTTCAGAATTACTCATTTATAAAGTTAGGTCCTTAAGATAGGGGAGAGGATAACTTTGAAACGAAGCTGTATCAATTTCCAGAATGTCTTGCAGATCCTTCTTTGTTGAGTACGGATGATAACTACCTTGCCTTATTACAGACCATAGTTTGGTTTCAGTATAGTTCAGTTTTCTTAATGTACTTGGAACATAAATAAATTTAAATTAATTAGAATCAATTTTGGGAATTTTTTTAAGAGTTTCATGTTATGTTTTAGAGGTTAGATCACCCTGAGTTGATGAAATTTCAGTGATAGGAATCAAGCTTTGTGAACTGTAAAGCATTATATAAATTATGATCCTTGCTGACATTGAGTACTTTTGTGCCAGGCAGTGTGACAAGTGTTTTATATTTATTTACTCATTTAATTCTCCCAGTAACCTTAATGAGATTTGGTTTTGGTTCTTCTGTTGATCTCCATCTAACAGATGAGGCAGGGAGAGGGCAAGACCTTACCTGGAGTAATATAAGTAAGAGCCAGAGTCAGGATTTGAATTCAGTCAGTTGGGTGCCAGATACTTCACTGCACTGTCACAACAGTTCATTGGGGAAAATGCTGAATTTAAGCATGAAGTTGCTGTATCTTGTGATAATTTACAAATTGAAAGGCAGGTGTACATGTTTAAGGAACATCCCTCACCCCCACTCCATATTTAATAATATAAGGAAGGTTGGATGGACTTTTTAAATATGTTTTTGGTACTTTAGTACATCAAATACTCTTTTAAGAGTATGTCTTTTTAGGATATAGCACATTTAGAATGTGAGCATCATTGAAGGCAATCACTTGATCCCTTTTGTCTTTTAAACAGATGATTTTTGATCCTACTATGAGCAAGAAGAAAAAGAAGAAGAAGAAGCCTTTTATGTTAGATGAGGAAGGGGATGCCCAGACAGAAGAAACCCAGCCCTCAGAAACAAAAGAAGTAGAGCCAGAGCCAACTGAAGACAAAGATGTAGAAGCTGATGAAGAGGACAGTAGAAAAAAAGGTGAGTGGTAGATGTGAGAGAATCACTCTTTTGCTGGAGGACCTGGCTCTCTTCCATTGGTGTTTTGGATTTTGTGCATACATTGACCCCTCATCCTGATAAGGCTGTTCCAGCCAGTGAAAGTTGAGGTCATCAACAGTCCATGTGCACCGGGCCTTGCCAGATTTCTGATAGAATTGTTCCAGGGAAATTCCCACTGCATCCATAAGTAGCAGAGGTGAGAAAACCTTGTCATTCCAGGGCTAATTTTCCAGTCTAACCGGTCAGGTCTCTTTGCATTTCAGTGGTGTATTTGAGTATAGGCAGAAAGAAATAGGACCAAAATAGGCAGTTTTGTGTTTTAGCAAGCCTAAAATGTATAGAAAAAATTAAAATTATTATTTAAATGTTTCAGTTTAGATACCAGTGTTAGTTATTCACTCTTGTACTTTGACATAGATACCATTTAACTATTAGAAATAAATGATTCAGTAAACATAATGTCTGTTGAATATAAGGCACTGTTGAGGATAGAGCAAACTGACATTCATTGAACATCTGCCATACATTAAGCATCTTGTATATGTTTAAAACAAACTTGGAAAGTAAGTCATTCTTGTAATAAGACAAAATGAACTGCTAAATAGCTCCTTGAAAAAAATTTTATAGCAGAGGGATCCTAAAATATTTCTAGTGTACAATAGGGCAGAACAAATGGAAAATTTATTGAACAGAACCCATTATTACTCAGTAATGGTAGATAGAATTTATTTTATTTATATTGTAGCCTCATTTAATGAATATGAAATACTTTATAAGGCCTTTTGTTGATTGATTAATTGATTTAATAACATGTAGAGCTAGGCACTAGGATTTAGTTGAACAAGGCATATCCCTTTAATATCTAGTAGAAAGATAGATAAGCAAGTTGGTAAGTACCTCTGCGGGGGTGACAGAAGGTACTATCAAAGCACCTGGGGGACACCCAATTGTGGGAAAGGAAGGATAGATAGGCTTAGAAAAGGTTTCTTGGTGGAAGTAACTCTAACCAAGATCCTATGAGATGAAGATAAGAGCTATGTGGGAGGTCCATGGTAAGGATTAGAGTACTGCACTAAAGTAGAAGTACTTCATTTGGGCTGGAACCAGGGATTAAGGTATGGGAAATGAGATGGTAGGCAGAAGTGGAGAGATAAAGCTGAAGAGCCTTGGAAATTATGTTAAAGTCCTGACTGTGTTGGGACAATGAGGCACAATATCAGATTCATATTCTTAACATAGTTCCCTAACCAGATTTTTCCTACAAAGCTTTGAGGTGACCTGCCATTGTATTTCTGAGAACCATAACTTTTGTGGTTGTGCTATTGCATTAAATAATACCCGATCTGTCTGTTCTATTGACTTAATTAATAGCTAAAATGTTGGTTTAACTCATTGGATGTTTTGCCTCCTGTTTATTGCTAATTGATAATCTCAATTCTGTCTTTTTAGATGCCTCTGACGATCTAGATGACTTGAACTTCTTTAATCAAAAGAAAAAGAAGAAAAAAACAAAAAAGATATTTGATATTGATGAGGCGGAAGAAGGTGTAAAGGTAGTATTGCTTTCTTATTGAAGGTAAAATTTGACCTCTTGAAAGGTTGCTAAATGGCTGATGTTTCTTCCTCTGTATCTCTTACAAACTTTGTTTTTTTTTTATGTACTTAATCACCACTGTTAAGGTTATTATATCTGACTAAGGTATTTTAAAGGGATTATGATTCAAAGGAATGTAAATTTAGGTTTTACATATTTTATTGTGTGCCTGTGAAATGATTACAAAGGGCCCCTTATCATTAACTATACTGAGATTGGCTGAGGAATATTTCAAAAAGTGAGAAATCTGTGAAGTAAATATTCTTATGGTTTCATCTGTTAAACTTTGGTGGCATGTTGAAGGTACACAAATTATTGTGAACCTCTGAGCACCAACCTGTGGTGAATGGTGGCTGATGATCTTATGGCCTGTAGGAGAACGAGAGCACTCAAGCTATTTCTATGGAGTTCTCTGATCTTGTAGATTGTCTTAATACTAGATCAATTTTTAATATACATATCTCAAAATTCTGTTGAATGAGTAGGTAGATGGGTGGGTATGTAGGTGAATAGGATGAATGGAGGATAAGCTAAAATTCTGTTCCTCCCTTACTTAGAGCTACCATTTAAAAAAAGAATTTTTTTTTCTTTATTGATTTTAGAGAGAGGAAGGGAGAGGGAAAGAGAGATAGAAACATCAAAGAGAGAGAACATCGATTGGCTGCCCCCAACTAGGGATTTGGCCCACAACCTGGGCATGTGCCCTGACTGAGAATCGAACCGGCAACCTCTTGGTGCATGGGTCAGCGCTCAACCACTGAGCCACAGCGGCCAGGCTAGAGCTACCTTTTTTTTTTTTTTTTTTTTTATCCTCACCAGAGGACATTTTTCCATTTTTTGTTCAGGTAGAGTGGGAGGGAGAGAGAGGAACAGAGAGAGAGAGAGAGAGAAACATCGATGTTAAAGGGATACATCGAGTGTCTGCCACCCGCACAACCGACCAGGGCCGGGGACAAACTGCAACCGAGGTACGCACCCTTAGCGGGAACCGAACCCGGGTCTCTCCGGACCGCAGGCCGACGCTCTAACCGCTGAGCCAAACCGGCCAGGGCTAGAGCTACCATTTTAAAGACCCAGTCCAGGAACCTTAAGCAGAGTTCACACATCTGTTTATAAAACCCAGAATGATAGTAATTTATGTATATATGGAGAGAGAGAGAGCAAGTGTTGAGAATACACCTAACATGCACTAAGGGTCCTCTACCCAAATTTTTCTTTGGTAAATAGTTTATTTGCTTAAACTTTAAACAAGGTGTATCCATATGTAGCAGGAAATATATACTGTATAGTAATTTTTTGAATTTGGAAACAATGTCACGATTTTGATGACTTGGCTAATCCAGCAAATGTGTATTGGTGAGTGTATTGAGTCATTGGGGTACTAAGGTAACTGAAATAAATATTTTTCTTGTTTTAGATAATTTAGCGTCCTTTAGAACAAGACAATTTTACCTGGATATATCTTATTTGCTCCCTGTTTGGGATTCTCTTCTCTTCCTACTATTGCAGGGAAATTGAGAAAGAGAAATGTTCAAATTATACTGAACAAGTGAGGTTTAAATATCCCGAGTAGCAAAGTGACACATCAGAGATGTACCACAGGAAATCTTGGTTAACAAAGTTTTTTTGGTTGATTTCTCTAGTTAGTAGCTTTTATCCTGAAAAGCCACTTATATAAGCTCTATCTACTCTTATTATTAAGTGCTTGAATACTTTTTTCTCTGCTATTGCAGTCATAACATAAGAGGTTGTTATAAATAAGATAAATCCAGGTAAAATTGTCTTGAGGTTGTTACGAATATCCTTATCAGGCAGAGAGGGCATGGGTGTTAACTTGAAACTGAAGTGTTTTTAAGATCTTAGGTTCCTCTCCAATTTGAATTTTCAGACCATCACAAGGCTTTAAAAAAAGAATGCTATTCTTTGCCTTTTTGAAGTAGATCTTACTGGGATAAAATAAAAGTACAGGACTAGAAAGCTGGTTTGTGTGTGCTAATTTATATTTGGTATATCTGAGCTTCTCATTTATTGACTGTCATCTTAGAGACTAGGTCAATAACTGTTTTTTTGTTTGTTATCCAGCTAATACACATGGGCTGATTGGTCGTTAATGGTCAAATGTGGTACTAAGACTACATAGCTGGATGTGGGATCTTAGAGCTGAGCTTCCTTCATTTATTCCCAGCCATTTAAACTTTTCTGCTTCTAAGATTTGTGAAATTACTATGGCCATTGTCAAATTAATTCATTATGTAGGCACACAAAAATACATATTGATAGGTAATGTTGACAGTACATTTTATGTTAGGGAGCTGGATTAACTGGGGAAAGGAGGGAGAGATTGGCCCTTTCGGCTCTTAGGAGTTTATTACTCAATTATGATATGACCTATTTACATCTATGACTGTAGCAACTAATCTTGGGATCAATCTTTATCTTGTCTCCATCCATTCATATAATCCTAATTCTCCATGGGTTCTACCTTTCCCCTCTTTCATGATGTCATCTGATAAAGTGATGCTTAAATACCTTTTCACAGTCTGTTTGCAAGGCTGACTGTGGTATAATAAAAAATATTTAGTCTTTGTCTCTGGTTCCTGGCACACAGCTCCTAAAACCCTTGCAATCTCTGGAATGATAAAAGTGTCTTTTGAGATGACTGGTGGCTGGGAGCTCCTGAATAGCTTCAAGACAGGGGCTGGTTTGTCAGAAAGATTACTCCATGATTAAATTATTAGAATTTTCAGCCCGGCTGGTGTGGCTCTGGATTGAGCATTGTTCCGGTTTGATTTCCAGTCAGGGCACTTGCCCAGGTTTTGGGCTTGATTCCTGGTGGGAGTCATGCAGGAGGCAGTCAATCAATGTTTGATTCACATGGGTGTTTCTCTCTCTCTCTCCCTTCCTCTCTCTGAAAAGTCAATAAAAACATTTTTATTTTTTTTAAAAAGAATTTTCATATTCGCCTGGCCACCTTCACCCCTTAACACCTTCCCCCTCCTTGGGGAAAGGGGTTGGAATTGAGTTCAGTCACCAGTGGTCAATGATTTAATGTCATGCCTGCATGATGAGGCCTCCATGAAAATCTCTTGAATGATGGGGTTTGGAGAGGTTCAGGGTTGGTCAAAAAATCAGGATGTTGGGAGAGTGGTGTCCCCGGAAAGAGCATGAAAGTTCTTTACCAGCCCTCCTTCCCTGTTCATCTCTTGCATTTGGCTGTTTCTGCATTGCATCCTGTATAACAAACTGGTAACGGTTAAACACTTTCCTGAGTTCTGGGCCATTCTAGCAAATTATTGAACTTTGGGGGGAGGGGATTGTGGGAAACTGAATCTGTAGCCAAGTCATATATATGTGTAGGTAACCTGGGGACCCTTACTTGCGACTGGCCTCTAAAATGAGGACAGTCTTGTGGGACTGAGCCCTGAAAGCTGTGGAGTCTGTCACTAACTACAGGTAGTTTCGGAATTGAAATGAAATAGGTCACCTAGTTAGTGTCGGAGAGTTAAATAATTGGTGTGGGAAAACACCATGTTTTGGGTGTCAGGAGGAAAAACTCTCCACTGATAGCATCAGAATACTTGAGAACCTCTTTAAAATACTCCTGACCCTTGTTCCTTCCAAAGATCGGCAGTCAAAAGATTTAAGAATCTTTTTAAAGTTTCCCAGGTGATTCTGACAGTGGCCTGGTTTGGAAACATGGGCAGTAATTTTAAGATCCCAAGGCTGGTGAAAAAAAAGGAAAAGATCCCACAGAACTGTCTTAAATTTCCAGTGTAAATGACAGACTTGCTGAGCCATTTTGGCTCACCTGTGAAAGACATTTCTTTTCTATTTTTTTTAATCCTCACCCGAGGACATTTTTTTGTTCAGATAAAGTGGGAGGGAGAGAGACAGAGAGACATTAACATGAAAGAGACATGTCGAGTGGCTGCTTCCCACAGGACTGAATCTGTAATCTGTAGCCAAGTCAGACCGTAGACGAATCGCAACCAAGGTACATGCCATTGACCAGAATTGAACCCTTGACTCATTGGTCCGCGGGCCAACGCTCTTAACCGCTAAGCCAAACCAGCCAGGGCGAGAGACATTTCTTATGTGTAACTTCAGTTTTGCATATTAAATTTGTTTTCCTCTAAAAGGACGTTAGCCCATGTCATTTTTTTAAAGTCCTAGTATCAAAATATTGAAACTCGTATCTTAATTTTTTAGGATCTTAAGATTGAAAGTGATGTTCAAGAACCAGCTGAACCAGAAGATGACCTTGACATTATGCTTGGCAATAAAAAGAAGAAAAAGAAAAATGTCAAGTTCCCAGATGAGGATGAAATTCTAGAGAAAGACGAAGGTAATATTGGGAGCTCATTGGCTCATTTCTAGATTACTCAGGCCTTTGGCCTAATCTCTGTTAGGTGGGCTCCTTTTTTTATTTTTTCTTGCCCCTTATTTCCACCTGATTATGGAAGCTAAAAGGAAACAGTATCTAACTTGATGACAGTTAAAGATTTCATGGGGGTAGAATTTGGCAATTGTGATTTTATTAAATCAGGAGGATTCGGGTGATTGGGAAAATTACTGTAACTAAATATTAAATGTTAAAAACTTTTTTTATTGTTTTGTTAAAAGTGATGTTTTACTAGTTTCTAAGTGCCATAGGGTCTTGAAAGAACTGTACTGTAGTCAGCAGATGGGTTTTTATGGATGTGAATGTTTCTTAAGTGCTTCAAAACAGTTGGATGTTTTTTCTTCTAATTATCCCATTGCATTATTTTATCTTGTGTTTGGTTAAATCAAGAAACAGGTGTGTCTGTGTTATCACATTCCTAACTAGAGAGGTCTCTATTAAGGGTTGTTTATGAAAGTCTGTCTTTACAGAATAAGAGGTTATTTGTGAAACTTGATGCCTTTATGCTTGAGGCTATTGTGAATGCAGTTCTGGGAGGGAAGACAGATGTCTTTGATGCTTCAGTTGTCTAGATCTGCCTCTACCACTCATTCTTAGTCTTTGTTATCTGTAGCTTTAGAAGATGAAGACAGCAAAAAAGATGATGGTATCTCATTCAGTAATCAGACAGGCCCTGCTTGGGCAGGCTCAGAAAGAGACTACACTTATGAGGAGGTAAGACAAATTCTGTTATGAAAGGGGCTAAGCTATTCATTAGAACTCAAAGAAAAGCAATATAATGTTCCCTGAATTGGAAGGGCCATTGAACTACAGATTGATAGTGAAGCAGATGCAGAGAGGTCACATAGCCATTGCCCAGCGCTGTCTGATGTCATATGGGGGAGCCTGCCCGGAGTGTGGCAGTAATAGTACTCAGTGTTCCCATATGAATCCGTGAACTTCTAAGGACATGAAATGGAGCCCTTGCAATGGGAGGTGGGAGCAGTGGGGAGAGGAAGTGTCTGATTTGGGGCCAGGATAGCCTGCAGTTTGCTTGTTTGGGCTTTCCTGAATCTTACTTTTGATTGTATCATATACTTGACCATAGAAGCAACAGAATTAGTAGGGGTTCGTTCATTCATTAACCTTGAATAAGGAATTGCTGAGCATTCATAATGGACCAGATCCTGGTTGAGAATTGAGTCCTGCTCTCAAGGAGCTCTCAGAACATGTAGTGATATATGTGTATATTTAGTAAAAAGTGAAGTTTGCTCTGCTTAAAGGTAAAGCAAAGATTCAAGTATACTCTTGCTATTAATAAGAATGTACATGAATACCACTTTATCTCTATAGCTACTGAATCGAGTGTTCAACATCATGAGGGAAAAGAATCCAGATATGGTTGCTGGAGAGAAAAGGAAATTTGTCATGAAACCTCCACAGGTCGTCCGAGTAGGAACCAAGAAAACTTCTTTTGTCAACTTTACAGATATCTGTAAACTGTAAGTTGGTTAATAGAGAATCTCCATTCCAGATTTTCAGTGGTGTTTATGTTAAAGGTCCTTACTGAAGACTTTATTGCAGGTAGAAGGAGAATGCACAGCTGCCAAAGTTGGGTTGAGGAAGGTCAGAGTTTAAGTCTATCAGTTCTTTCTACTCACAGGTCTCGGGGCTTGTATTATCAGACATCCAGAGGTGAGAGAAGCCAATTTATGCTGATGCATGAGAGTGGATCCTAAGCAGATGGAGTGAAGAGTGAGGAGGCTAAATGTAGTCCTCAGACCTTTTTGAGCCCAGGGAGGTAGAAAAGGTTTTGAGGCTGGGATGGGCCTGCCAAGACAGTGAGCTCTGGGAAAGCAGCTAAATTTTGGTTTGCCTCTTCCTTGGATGGTCATTGCCAAGATACAGCTTTCTTAATTCCATCACATTTCATGCCTCTCTCACCCCAAGGTCACTCACTGGGCCTGGCTCTTAGCTCCTCAGCTACACCTTTTCTGGCAGGTTCTTTAGGGTAACTGACCTTATCTACTGTTTTTCTTCAATTTCTTAAGTGATACCTGCTTTTTGCAGATAAAAGGGTAAACAATGGTAAACAAAAAAGAGAAAATAATACTAAAAATTCTATCACCCAGTGATAACTACTTGTTTTCATTGCTTGTAGGCAAAAGATTTTAGACTTTTTTTTTGCTGATCACAATGCTCATTATAGAAAAATTAGAAAATAAAGACTTGCTAAAGAAAATGAAAAATAATCTATGTCTACCATTAAGAAATAGGTAATCATAGTTGAACATTTTTATGTTTAGCTAATTTTATGCATATATTTTAAAATAAATGGTATGCTGGTTTTTAACCTATTTTTCTCTTAATATATCATGAAAGTTAATTTTGTCATTAGTCTTCATAAATGTTTTTAGTAGCTATACAACATAGTCTAACAGTTTTGTAGTTAGACATGGTTGCTCCCAGGTTTTCATTATCAGAGACAAGGCTTCAGGGAACATGCTTATATCTGTATCTTTCCATTGACTCAGAAGAGAGCCTTAGGGCAAAAAGTACCAAAATGAAATAGCTGAATCATAAGGAATGGATTTTATTTTTTGGGGGGGGGTGGTTAACATTGGTAAATTGTTTCCAACAAGCTTGTACCAATTTATACTCCCTCTAGCAATGCAGGAGCTAACCTGTTTTATTGTATTTCCACCAACCCTCACTCATTATATTTTGGGGGAAAAATAACTATTTTTAACATTGTAATAGTACGTACAGCTCTGGATGGCTGGTGTGGCTCAGTTGGTTGGGCATTGTCCCATACAGTGAAAGGTCGTTGGTTCAATTCCTGGTCAGGGCACATACCCAGGTTGTGGGTTCGATCCCTGGTCGGGGTACGTGTGGAAGGCAACCAGTCAATATTTCTCATATCGATGTTTCTTTCTCTTTCTCTCCCTCTCCCTTCTAAGATCAATTAAAACAAAAAAGCATAAAATTGTAATAGTATCTGGTTACTAGAACAAGTTCAAACAATGCCAAGTGAGTACAATTTAAAGTGAAAATATTGAATGGCATTGTTCTGTATTTGCTTTTTTTTTACTTTATGTGTTTTTTGTTTGCTTGTTTGTTTTTGGGTATATGGAGACATGTGATGTTCTAAAAGCAGGATAGGATGAATATACTGTAATTTATTTGGCCACTCCCCCGTTGGTGAATATTTAAGCTGTTTTCAATTTTTCTGTAGTTATGCTACCATGAAATGCTTCTCTATATATTGTTCCACTTTATTAAATTAAACTTTTCTAATAGGAAATTATATAGGGATTAGCATAAAAACACCCAGGTATCCTACTGCCTAGGCTTGGGGTATTTGACCTTTTAACACATCTGCTTCAGATCCTTTTACTTCTTTAAAAGAGGGTTTTACAGTTACAATGAAAGCCATATTTGTATCTCTTTCATCTTCCTTCCCAGAAAAAGATGTTGTCCTCTAATGTTGTTTAGCTTTCTTGTCCATGTTTCTAGACATTTACTTATATGTATGTATAGTATTTATAAATGACATGCAGTATTATTTTACGGGCTTTAAAATGTTATATATCTTTATTTCAGAGTTTAATGAACTGTACATTAAAGTTCACCTAATAGTAGAGTAATCACAAAACAGTGAACAGGCTACTTTTTTAGAAGTTTGATTAGATTTCCATGGAGGATAGTTTATATATTTCACTTTCTTTTTAGATTACATCGTCAGCCCAAACATCTCCTTGCATTTTTATTGGCTGAATTGGGTACAAGGTAAGAAACTATATTCACATTTATATATAGCTATATAGAGTATTACTGGACATTTCATAAGAACTTTTGTTTTTTAATGCTTTTATTGACATTTTAGAGAGAGAGGAAGGGAGAGAGATAGAAACATTAATGTGAGAGAGATACATCGATCGGCTGCTTCCTGCACGCCCCCTACTGGGGATTGAGCCTGAAATCCGGGCATGTACCCTGACTGGGAATTGAACTGGGACCTTTCAGTCCCTGGGACGGCACTCAATCCACTAAGCCACACCCGCTGGGCGAACTTTTCTTATTTTGAAAAGAGGGTATATGACACACTTAGAAAAAAACATTCACTGCCCTGCCTGGGTGGCTCAGTTGGTTGGAGCATTGTCCAGTGCAAGTGCTCCAAAAGTTGTGGGTTCAATCCCCAGTCGGAGTGGTACAGGAGGTATCCAATGTTTTAGCTTTCTCTCCAAAATCAATTAAAAACAACAACAACCTATCCTTGGGTGAGGATAAAAAAGAAAAATTTAAAAAAAAATCACCTGATTAACAGGGGAACTTTTAGGCTACTGAAAGAGGGAAAATCAGTTCATTTCTATGGGAGAGCTTGGCTGCTTGGGGATAGGGCACTGAATTAACAGTGATTCAACTGAACAGGCCTGTTGGCATACCAAAATGAGGACCGTGGCACTGCCATGTTTAGTTTCCAGTTATTAATTGGATTCTTGGATCTTTCTGGAGCAAATGTTAGATTTCAGAGGAAGTCATTTTCTTAGGTCAGAATTTATTTTCTAAATTATTAATAGGCTATTGATGAAATATAGCTTATAAATTGATGAATGCGTCTGGCTAGTGTGGCTCAGTGGTTGAGCATTGACCCATGTACCAAGAGGTTGCCGGTTTGATTCCTGGTCAGGACACATGCCCAAGTTGTGGGTCCAATCCCCATTGTGGGGCAGGCAGGAGGCGGCCAATTGATGTTCTCTCTCATTGAAGTTTCTGTCTCTCTCTTCCTTCCTCTCTCTCTCTAAAAAAAATCAATATAGGGGGAAAATATTATTTATTTATGTATTTATTTTATACTTACCCGAGGACATTTTTCCATTTTTTGTTCAGCTAGAGTGGGAGGGAGAGAGAAGGAGAGAGAGAGAAACATCGATGTGAAAGGGACACATTGAGTGGCTGCCACCCGCACGACTAACCAGAGCCGGGACAAACTACAACTGAGGTATGTGCCCTTAGCGGGAACTGAACCTGGGTCTCTCTGGACCACAGGCTGATGCTCTAACTGCTGAGCCAAACCGGCCAGGGCAAAAAAAATATTTTTAAATAAATGAAAAATAAATTGATGAATGGCACAGGAGAAACATTGAAACAGGGATCCAGATTAGTTACTTCCCTGTCTTTTTTTTTTTTTATCCTCACCCGAGGACATTTTTCCATTTTTTGTACAGATAGAGTGGGAGGGAGAGAGAGGAAGAGAGAGAGAGAGAAACATCTACGTGAAAGGGACACATCGAGTGGCTGCCACCCGCACAACCAACCAGGGCCGGGGACAAACTGCAACCGAGGCACGCGCCCTTAGCGGGAACCGAACCCGGGTCTCTCAGGACCGCAGGCCGACGCTCTAACCGCTGAGCCAAACCAGCCAGGGCTCGATGTATTTTTTTCACATCAGTGTTTCTCTCTTCCTCCCTCCCTCCCACTCTAAAAATCAATGGAAAAAAATAGCCTTGGGTGAGGATGAACAAAAAAATAAAAGTAGATTCAGGGTGTAATAATGACGACTAACACATATCGAGTGTCTTGGGTACCATTTCAGTCCTTACAACAGTTTAAATTGTAGTTGGTCACATAGCTAGTTAATGGCACAATCATCATGAAAACTCAGGTCTGCCTGTTTCATGAGCTTGAGTTCTTAAAAGACTTAATCCTGTGCCTTGCTGGCAGTACAGAGATGACCAAGGTTTTCTGTTCTCTTCCTACTCTTGAAAGTTTGTTGGAATTAGCTACACTTGCTGTGGGGTTAAGGAGTCATTTACTTGACTAGTGGTAGATATATAGGCTCTATTGTAGAATTATGTTTTAAATATAAATTTATTATATAATCATTGCTTATTTTTAACTTGCATAAACTAATGAAGGAGTAAAAAAAAACCTAGCAGTGTTTTTCCTACTCAGAATAATTTAGTTTTTGAAGAGGTGGGGTAAATTATAACAAGTTGTGAACTAGTGAACTTAAGGTCAGTGAGCTTAATATAGGGTTGTTGAAAAAATTCAATTTCTTTTGACAGTGAATGAAAACAAATTCCTATATCAAGCATTGGGATATCATTGTTTGGAGATCAAGGGTTCCAGTCTGTGGAAGATAATAATAAACCCTTATAGTTAAAGGATAATTATAGGAGAGATTCTTGCCAAAGTTATTTTTAAAGTGATAATAGAACAAATAGAAATTTAAAGCTACCTGGCTGAATTTTGTTTTTTCACTTTGTGATTTGTAGTTTTTAACAATATCAAGCCTAGAGCTTTCTTCTTTCTATGTGCTTGTCATCAGCTTCTTTTCAAAGTTTCTCTTTAAGCACCATTGGCAATATGTGGCCTGTGCCTTCAACTGTACTTGGGGGTGGGTGGTTATTAACAGTTTAATAGAAATACATTTCACACATTTAAATGTACAATTCAGTGTTCACATAATTAATTGAACTATCACTACAGTTGATTTTAGGACATTTTTATCAACTATATATGACAATCAAAATATATATTTGGTGCTTAGAATTGTAAAAGATAGGTCCTACTTTATACATGGTATACATTCAATAAAAGTGTTTTTTTTCCTTGGATGAATGAGCCATCACACACAATTAAGGAATTGATTTTGTTTAGACTTAAAGTCAATTATACATCTGATTTGTTGCTGGAGATTTAATTGGTTGAAATTGGATTAAGTGTTAGGAAATACGGGTAGGTCATCAGGTACCAACTACTTAATTAGAAATAAATTTTGAGAAACCAGGTAGTAGAGCACTACTTCTAGAACTTAACCTATACCATTAAATGTATTGTACATTCATTGAATTTGGTTCCTTGTAAGAAAAAGCAATAATAATGGAGATATTTTTGTTTTCTTCCATAGTGGTTCTATAGATGGTAATAACCAACTTGTAATCAAAGGAAGATTCCAACAGAAACAGATAGAAAATGTTTTGAGAAGATATATCAGTAAGTGTATAATTTAATCTCAGTACATCACTCTGAAATGTTCTCATCAGGCTGTATTATTTTGAGGAGAGCCATTGGTTTGTAATGGAGCTAGAAAGGCTGGCCTTAAAGGATGAGGGAAAGTGATAGTGATGACAAGGTGAAGCAGGGAGTTCGCTCTTGGCAACTGATTGGGGAGTGCAGGGAGAAGGGTTTGGATTTCCTAAGAAAGCCCAGCCAATCAAGGCTGCTGATTGGTTCCAGGCTGAAGGCCAAGCCAGAGAAATCTGTCTGTATTCAGTCATGGTCTGCCTTTATCTTCCTCATCACTTAAAATTGGCAAGTATCTTCCCACTTACCTAGGAAAGCTAGTAAGGTCTTTCTGAGTGTTTGTCCTGTGAAAGAACCAGGAGCAGGCATCTGGCAAATGTTCCTGTTCCCTTGGACATTTGGAATCTCATTTGGTGTCTTTTTTTCTTTTTCTTTTCTTTTTTTTTTTGTACGTGACCCTAGTGGGAACCGAACCCGGGACTCTTTGGTCCGCAGGCCAACGCTCCAACCGCTGAGCCAAACCGGCCAGGGTTGGAGTCTTTTTTTCAACCCATGATTTAGCACCTGAAGCATCACAGAAGACAACTTGTTTTCTTACCCTAGAAGAGCTTAGCTATATAAACTTACCAATAACTTTAGCTAAGCTTTCTTAGTCTGGGTGCCAGCCTGGGTTTGTGGAGTTCAGTGTAGAAGTGTGTCAGAGGGAAGAAACCTCTGTCATCACTGTGGCCACCAGTTAAATTTTTTTTTTAAACCTGATTAAAAAACAGGCAGAGGACCTGAATAGACATTTTTCTAAAAAAGACATACAAACAGCCAACACATGCATGAAAAGATGCTCAACATCACTGATCATCAGAAAAATGCTAATTAAAGTTATAGTGATAGAATAGCTATCATAAGAAAGACAAGAAATAGACTTTGGTAAGGATTTGGAGAGAAGGGAACCTTTGTGAACTTTAGATGGAATAGTAAACTGCTATAGTTACTAAGGGAAAGAGTATGGAGGTTTCTCAAAAAATAAAAATAGAACTACCATATGATCCAACAGTCTCACATCTGGGTATGTATCTGAAGGCAGTGAAATCACTATTTTAAAGAGATATTTGTGTCCTTATATGTTCATTGCAGCATTATTCACAATAACCAAAACATGGAAACCTATCATTGGATAAATGGGAGGAATAATGTGATATATATCTATAGTATATTCAGTGGAATATTACTCTGCAATAAAAAGAAGGAAATCCTGCCATTTGGGACAACGTGGTTGGACCTTCAGGGCATTATGATAATGAAATAAGTCAGACAGAGAAAAAATAATACTGTGTGATCTCACTTATTACGTGGACTCTAAAAAAGCCAAATATAGAAACAGAGTAGAATCATGGTTAAGAGGGGGTGAGGGTAGGGGAAATGTGATGTTATTGAAAGGGTACAAACTTCCAGTTAGAAATTAGCCACCAGTTAATTCTATATGTTGCTTTTCTTGCAGAGGAATATGTCACTTGTCACACGTGCCGATCACCTGACACAATCCTGCAAAAGGACACCCGACTCTATTTCTTACAGTGTGAAACTTGTCATTCTCGATGCTCTGTTGCCAGCATCAAAACCGGCTTCCAGGCTGTCACGGGCAAGCGAGCACAGCTCCGTGCCAAAGCTAACTAATTTGCTAATCACCACTGATTTTGCAAAGTGTGTTATGGATATTTGGCTGGACAGGTTTACCATCAGAGTGGATATATCATTGTATTAAAAACAAGATAGAAAAGCTGCCAAGCTCTTTGGCGTGTGGCTGGTTGTCTGAAATCCTTGCGAGATGCCGACGCCCAAGCTGTTGACATACTCATTGCCTACTTTAACAACTGTCAGAGAAACATGATGGGGTAAGGCGGTGCTTTTTTAAAATCGTTCATAGACTTCTGTAAAATGCAAGATAAATTAAAGTTATTATAACAGTGATTCTTTCAATTTGGTTTGTCCTTCAGTTTTCTTTTCTATAAAAATGTGCTTAATGAATTCAGCAAAACAGTTTGTGCCTGGGCTCTGGCGAGGTTTCTGCGTCCTTGTCCTAAGAAACTGGACACTGGCAGTGGCTTCAGCTGGGCAGCCATTTTCCTCTCAGCTTCTCCTGAGATACATAAAGTAGATACAGCTTCCCATGAGAGGGTGGTTGGAATATGAGATCTAGGAGGACAGCCTATTTTCAGTGTCCAAGGAACGATGACAGATTTGAATTCTTTTCATTATGTGAGGATTGTTGCTACTACCTCACTGCCAAGTCCTCTAGCTGTCACCATGAGGGAATACAAGGTGCTAGGTACCCTCCCTCCTTTGAATTTTCTTCCTAATTAGCCACTAAGAGAATCTCAGAAACAGCCTTGAAGTGGGTCTCGTAACTGGCACACTAAGTAAAACCCTAGTTGTGAGTAAGAGATGTGGCATGTACATACAGTACAGAACTCTTCCGAGTCTAAACCATGATACTAGAAGTTTTTCTTTTCTTCCCCAACTTGTGTTCCGGGTTGGAAAAGACCCACCACAAATGCTTTTCTATTTTCTGTATTAAAGTATCTTTTGAAAGAGGTAATGCTGCCTGTGTGTGGTGCTTCTGGTGCCTCCAGTTCTGCCTTCTGAGGATTTGGCTGAAAGGGTATTTCTCCACTGAGCATGGGGGAAAGATCATCTTATGTGTCTGCTGTGATCTGCCTTGCACGCACTTGCCAAGGATAAGGGCATAACACTGCTCTTGCTTTCTTGATGCAAGACTAATCCTAAGCGGCTCAGAAGCAGCCAGTCACTTAGCCCTGAATGTCTTGACCATGTTGTTTTTAATCACTGTGACCCTTAATTTTAAAGTACAAGCCAAGTGCTGTAAAACACTTTGGCCATAAAGTGGTAGAGGGAGCAGAGCATTCCTTCAAACTGGCTGAGCTGCCACCACTACTGCCCTAATGAACTCAACTGCTGTTTATAATGCCATCTTCCTTTTGTATCTACACCCACACAATTCCCAATGTTGGATGTTACTGTGTGAATAAAGCAAGGATCAGTGCCTCTTGTGTAATTAGTGCTCCATTACTTTTGTGTATATATGTGTTTTCATTTAGTGGGGCCCCTTAGAGGAAGACATGGGACTTTGCAGTTTGGTGACAGATTGACACAGTTATGTTGGCAATTTCAACCCATCTTTAACTTCATTCTCAAAGTGGATTATCTGAGCTGATAGTCAAGTTGAGGTAATGTTTAATTAAATTGGGTTGACTGTTAACCCATTCAAAATGGTGGGTTGCCCTAGGTTACCCATTCACAGCAACATCAGCCTCTCTTCTGCCTGCTACCTCACACCAACTACAGTGCAGCTGCAGGGGAACCTTCTATAGAGTGACAAAGCAAAGATATTTGAGAGTTTCTGATCATGTTCTGGTTTTGAGAAGAACTAGGCCTCTAAGTGTCAGGAAACAGTGTTGAGGAATAGTCTTGACTGTAAGGGGTGTGTGGGTGGGGAGGGTTCCATAGTCAAGTTTGAGACTAGATAAACAAGTTCCATAACTGCCTAAGTTTTAGTATACTGATGAACATTCTCATGAGCACATAAACTTGATTTTTTTCTAGAGTCTGGAAAACACTCTTGACTCTATACCCAGCCCTACCTACAGAAAAGCTTAAGCTTGTTCTAAGATATCTTCCTGACTCACTCCCACACTTCAGAGGTCCCTGCCCACTGCATGTAAAACATGGTACCGCCCACTATAACAGCACTGAGAGCAGAGTTTTGTTCCCAATTTCAAGAACAAGCAGTGCCTAGCAAGTTGTAGGTGTTCTAATATCTGAGTTTTTTTTAAAGCATAGCATATGCAGACTTTGTAGCCCCCTATGCTCCCAAATATTTTGCAGGATAAGTGTGCATATAAAATGCTGGACTGGACAGCCTGGAAGAAGCACTACTATGACTTGTGAGGCCCCAGATGTAACCCGACCTCCCTCATCCAGATCTTTGTCCCTGGCAATACAAAAGTTTCACATTTTAGATTTTGTAATATGTTTTTAGAAGTTGGATCTTGATGTGTTTTTTTTCTTCTTTCTTTATTGATGTTAGAGAGGAAGGGAAAGTAAAGAGATAGAAACATTGATGAGAGAGAACATCGATTGGCCGCCTCCTGCATGCCTCTCACTGGGGATTTGACCCACAACCTGGGCATGTGCCCTGACTGTGAATCAAACCAGCGACCTCTCAGTGCACAGGTCGACACTCAACCACTGAGCCACACCAGCCGGGCTTGATGTTCTTTTTTTAATGAGAAGATGAACAACAGTCTGGAGTGAGTTCCCCTCTGCCATTGATTATATCCTGTATTCTCACATACAGTTGTCTGTCTCACAGCAATCCTGATAAACCCTGCCATCCCTGCCAATAGAGACATCAAACTCTTCCCAAGGACTGCAACAGAGGTATAGTGCTTGGCGCTTTGTCACACTGATGGTGGTGCTCTTAAGAGGACCAAACATCTGCTGGGTCCTCTGTAGCTGCCATGGCTCCTGTCCTTTCAAACCTTACCTGATACTGAGATTTTCCTGAACCCTTTTAATCACTGCTCTTTGATTTAAGCTTGGCTTTTGTCTTAACATATTTGAAGCCATTGGAGGACCAGCTGTTCTAAGGGATAAGTATTAATGGATATTCTTCATATTAAGCACCACCATTTTAATGGGCATCTTTAAAATTAATATTTATCAGTGGCAGATTTTTTTATGTACTGTTAAATGAGCCAGAAGCCAAATCAAAGCCAAAATATTACATGGAAAATTGGCTAAACCTAATCATGTCATATACTGGGCAACAGCTTCAGTATCAACTATTTTGGCCTCAGATTTATGACTGCTTCATTTTTTCAGTCCCAGATGTACCAGTGTTCTATGACAGATGACTCGTGACCCAGAACCTGGGCTATTCTTAAATAATTATTTACATAAGTGGTTAGCACTACCAAAGTCCCTACCTACTTTGTGCTATACATCTATTTACTTCTTTAATCAGCATAGCAACCCTTTGAGGTAGGTATACTATTATGTCCACTTTACAGATAAGAAAATGGGGACTCAGCCCTGGCCGGTTTGGCTCAGCGGTTAGAGCATCGGCCTGCAGTCCTGAGAGACCCGGGTTTGGTTCCCGCTAAGGGCATGTGCCTCAGTTGCAGTTTGTCCCCCGCCCTGGTTGGGTCGTGCAGGTGGCGGCCACTCAATGTGTCCCTTTCACGTCGATGTTTCTCTCTCTCTCTCTCTCTCTCTCTGTTTCTCTCTCTCCCTCCCACTCTACCTGAAAAAAAAAAGGAAAAATGTCCTCAGGTGAGGATAAAAAATAAATAAAAAAAAATGGGGACTCAGAATAAGCAACTTGCCCTAAGGGGTCACATAGCTAAGCGGGGAACCAGGATGCAGTCCTTGGCATTTGGGCTCCAGAGCCTGTGCTCTGCCTCTGCAATACTGCCTCTCAGGGCCAGTGTCATATACTTAAGTATTACCTGAATGCCCACAGCAAAAGGCAGTCCCTTGCCCTCCAGGAGCTTAGAGTCTAGTGAAAATGAGAAATGGAGCAAATCATTTGTAAATATAACCTGATAAAAGGTGTGATAGAAATAGCACACAGGAGAGGTCAGTGTTAACTCGGGCCAGGAAGGTGTCTGCAAAGAAGACTTCTGAGCTGATAATGATTGTTAGCTAGTGGGAGAAGACAAAGCATTCCAGGTAGAGGCAACAGCATGGGTAAGGGTTCAGAAGTCAGACTGGGGGAGGGGAGGTGTTGAGCTAGAGAGAAAAGAAGTTAGATCCTGGAGAGTTTATATTCCATGCTAAGCAGCCTGGAATTTACCCATTTGGCAGTGAATAAGTGATAATGGTAAAGGAGAGGTGGATGGCAGGTAAGAGGAAGGAAGAGTAGTTAGGAGGTTATTGCAAAAGTCCAAGAGAGAAGGGCCTAACCTAAGGCAGTGGAATGAAAAATGCATTAGAGCCAAGACAAACCATGGAAAAATTACCATGACTTACAATTAGGGAGGAATGGAAGATGCTGACATGAACAACAGGGTGGGCAGTGATGGACATCCAAGTGCAGCTATGAGATGAGGCATCTGTATATAATATATACCCTGGTACTCCTGTAGAAGACTAAGAGGTAGAAATTGTGGAGGCATGAGTCTGGAGTCTGAAGCCATGGGTTTGGTCAGCCAGGTAGCCATACAGGAGAATTAGACAAGGTAGAGATGTGCTGGTTTAAGAGGAAGGGCCAGCAAAAGACACTGCAAAGGAGGAGGAGACCCAGGAAGACTGTTGTCACAAGAATCAGAAGAGGAATTTTAGTTGTTTATGACAAAGGCATGTGGAGAGGGACTTAATAGTTTTGCATCCTGCCTCTCTACCTTTGCAAAGTGATGTGATCTTGGGCAAATTATACAACCTAAAGTCTCAATTTCCCAATCTGTAATGGGATGAGAATTTCCAACTCTGTGGGATTGTTGTGAGGATTAAGTAAAATACTGCAGTCTTTGTTAAAGTACTTAACAGAGCACCCAGGAAATGCAAACATATATACATGTAGAGTCTAATACTCCAGGGGTATAATTAAGAACACATAATTTGCTCCATAATTATTTAGTTGACCAAGTCACACATTCCTTTTGAAAACCTTTATGGGCAAGGATGAATGCGAGTCTCTGGCCTTAGGCAGTTCTCTGTGCTCAGAGAGCTAGACATTGGGGTGTGCAGGGGATAGAGATGCTCAAAAGTGGGATTTGAAGGGGGCCTTATTGTTAGAAGGGACTGGAGGGTGGGGAAGAGATGGGGTCCAGGTCAGAAAGTGACAAGGGGTAACCCTGTCAGTTTCCGTTCTGTGTACCTGGAAAAGCCAAACCCATGCACTTGCCCAAACAAGACCCAGCTATTGCACCTTTGTGGAAAGACACGCTGATCATCGGAGCTCCCACAGGAAGTACATTGAGGCAGAGGTGCAGGGAGGGGTATGTGTGGACCAGGAGCCCACTCACCAGTCAGAGGAAAGAGGTATCTGTGTTCATTCGTAGAGGCAGGACGGCCAGCTGGGCTTGCTCCATGGGCCTAGTGACCAGATGAACACACTGCTCTTGACTGCAATAACTCACAGACATTAGAACACCAACAAAAGGCCTTCTTGCAATTATCTTCCTTTGCCTCATTTTTGTAATGTTCTATTGACTTTAATCTTTGTAAACTACCTGAACTACATTTGGGAAGAAGGTGAGTATAAAAATAAGTAGGGCCCTGGCCAGTTATGCTCAGCGGTTAGAGCGTCGGCCTGCAGTCCCGAGAGACCTGGGTTCGGTTCCCACTAAGGGCATGTACCTCGGTTGCAGTTTATCCCTGGCCCTGGTTGGGTTGTGCGGGAGGCAGCCACTCTATGTGTCCCTTTCACGTCGATGTTTCTTTCTCTCTCTTCTTCTCTCTCCCTCCCACTCTATCTGAACAAAAAAATGGAAAAATGTCCTTGGATAAGGATTTAAAAAAAAGCCAAAAATAAGTAGGAAATTATGATCTGTTTTTTTTGTTGTTTTTTTTTAAAGAGAAAAATTTGGATTAGGTAAAGATAAGTACTCTCATTTATTAAGTATTGTTCTTTTGTTTTTCAAATGAAGAGGTTAAATGACTTGCCTAAGGCCACATAACAAATAGTCTAAATAGGAACTCAGTTCAACACCAAGTCTATACTCTTAACCCAGTCCCCCCTAAAGTAGAGCAAGCTAGGTAAATCTCTTTGAGTCTGTTTGTGTTCTATTAATACATAACAACAAATCACTTCAAAATAATGGCTTACAACAACATTTGATTAGTATCCCTCATAGTGCTAGACTTTGGGGTCTGAGAGGCAGTTCTTACTCAGTTTTCAGAGTGGCTGAGCTGGAGTCATCTCATAGGCTTCCTCACTAATGTCTGACATTTGATACTGGCTCTGGCCTCTCCATGTGACCTGGGCTTCTTCATAGCATGGTGGCTGGGTCCTAAGACACAAGGGACATACTGCTGGGAGACTGGGATAGCATTATCATCACCGTATTCTATAGATCAGTCATAGTCCAGATTGGAAGAGGATCTAGACACTACTTGTCAATGGGGCCATGTTTAGAGCCTCTACATTTATAGAATCTATAAAATGGGCATACCCACAGAATGAAGACACGTCGTTTCTGTCAGCTCAAGCCTCCTTTTTTCTAGCAATAGAACTTATATTTCCCTTTGGGGGATTCCTGCTTCTTGAACCCCTCCACCCTCACATGCCTGGGACTTTTAAATTTGTGAAATTAAACTTCTTCCTTCCTAAGGAAATTTGAGGTCAGTTTCTATAACTTGTAAGCAAAAGTTCACACCACATCCACCTAAAGGGTGGTTGTGAAGATTAAGTATAAAATGTGCCTTTTGCACAGCAGATATTCAGGAAATGGTTTACAGTTACTGTAGAATCATTTTATTATGAAGAATGTGGCCATAGGTGGAGGAATTTTGATTTACCTAAAGTTAATCAGTGGCCCAACTGCGATTCAAACCTAGGACAACTGGCTCAGAAACTTTGTCCCTGGCTCTACCTTCTGTATTTCTGTGGTCTCGACGGCCAGGGTTGATTAATGCCTGACACATACCCATATTGTAACTCCTTCCCTATAAAGAAAACAATAACCAAATTACCATGTTACTATTTCCTAATAGCCTAAAACTGCTGTAAATCCTCAAAAAGCAATCCAATAGCTACTAATAAATGTTTTGAAGCAGCAGTGAAATTAGGCCTGAGACAGACTAAAAAGAGGAATTTGGGCTTAGCCATGTGACTTGCTTTGGCCAATAGAACCTTACCAACATGACACAAACAGGAGCTTGAAGAGTACTTGCGCCCTGGCCAGTTTGGCCCAGCAGTTGAAGTGTGGGCCTGCTGTCCAGAGAGGCCCGGGTTCGGTTCCCGATAAGAACATGTACATCGGTTGCAGTTTGTCCCTGGCCCTGGTTGGGGTCGTGTGGGTAGCAACCACTCGGTGTGTCTCACATCGATGTTTCTTCCCCCCCTTTCCCACTCTATCTGAAGATAAAGTGCAAAAATGTCCTCAGGTGAGGATAAAAAAATAAATAAAGAGTACTTGCATATTGGGGTTACCCTGTCTTGCCTGCTAGATGCTGGGAACATGTGGCCCAGTTGCCCCTGTTGCCCAGCTAACCACTAACAAGTGAGGGAGCTTATCTGGGACCAACCCACCCCTGGGTGACCTGCCAGCTCACTTCACCCACAGTAGAGCCCAGGTAGTAGAAGAAGCACCCAGTTGAGCACAATCCAAATTGCCAAGCCACAGAATCGGAATCTAATAAATGTTTATTAAAGGTACTAAATTTCAGGGCAGTTACACAACAGTTAATAAGTGACAAGGCCCATACTATCCCTGATCTAGGACAACCCCTCATACAGATGAGGAAACAGACTTGGCAAGAAAAATACTTGCCTAGAAAAATACTTGCCTAGGGTCACAATCCAGTAAACCCACTAGCTGTGGTATTCCTTCAAGATGGCTGCCAGAATCACAAATGAGGTTTCAGATCTTGAAAACATCTAGAGATATTGGTCCTTTGGGCACAATTTAGTATCACATTTCTTCACCATCTCTTTTTGGTTTTCAGAAGTTAGACAGAAAATTGAAAACGACTGAGCAATGGAATGGGAGATGACATTCCTGGCCCCAGACATGAGGAGGGCAGGCATATGTATGCAGGGTTTTATGGTTATGAACCTCCCACTCAAGGGTACAACTGTAACTCTTCCCTGGAGTGCCAGGATGGGGATCCCATTCTCTGTCCAGGATATGTTCTGGTGCCAGGGCAATTAGGCAGGGCCTCTGGGTACAGCAGATGCTTCCGGCCCTGAAAGGTCTTCCCTACTCTTCCTGTGGCTCTCTATGCCTGACATACCACGGAAGCCCACAGCCTCTGCTGTTCTACCTGTTCCAAGCTCTGAGAAGTGCCTCAGTCAAGTACTAAGTAGAGCCTTGTAGTCTGGGAAGTACAATGGGCACACAGCACTAGGCTCTGGGGAAAAAGAAATACAATGCCAGCCCTCAGGGTGAAGTTCACCAGGCTTCAAAATCCCTTCTTTAGATTTTGCCCAGGTTCCAGTACAGGGTGGCAGTTCCCCATTTTGTACATGTGGGGACATAAACATCTGCCCAGGTACGCAAGCAGGTCTACTGGGCGCTGGCCTTCTAGACAGCAAGAAAAGACATTCCCTGTAGACCTAGTACCTTCCTCAGGACACCTTCTTCTTCTTCTCACCAGACTGAAGTCTTTTGTTTTGACCACACGAGGCAAGGGCCCAGCCCAGTTCCATGGGGCTCTTTTTCACTCCAGGTCTGGGTCTGAGACTTCTCAGAGGTGAGAACTAGAATAGCAGCTTAATGATGTGTAGATACTTCCCAGGTAAAAAAAAAAGTACGAGCCAGTATGTGCCAGAATTGGAGCAAAGTATGTCTGTGGGTGCCTGCCCACCACAGCCCTATACCAGTGAGACCAGCCTAAATGGCCATACTTGAACTGCCCAGTTCACTGGACCAGGGGAATTAACCTGTAATCTATGACTGACTCAAAATGTAACTGCTATGGCAGCTGATTCTCTACTGGGAACTTGAATGTAGAGAAACTGGACAATTTGTGGGAAATAGAGAAAGGGGGAGGGAGGTGAAGATAGGGCAGAAGTGGAGTTAGAAGGAACCTGGCCAATTAAAGAACAGAGATAAGTGCAGACAGACCACAGGTATCCTGATGCCAAACTCCTGTGTAAGTGGAGTGGGGCTCGATTTCTTACTGCCTATGAATGAGAAGGACTTGTTTTTTGTGTAAGGTTTGTGTGTGTGGTGACAAAAGAACAGGGGAGACCAGGATCATGTACCCCATACTGAGAAGCTGCCGTTTTGTCCTGACAGTGAGAAGTCAGGCAAGAAAGGGTTTTACACAAGGAAGGGACATGATTCAGAAATAACACTGTGCTGGCCAGTGACAAATAGGGTAAGGAAAAGCTGGAGACAGGACAAAGTCCAAGTGAAAAATAAATACTGTCCTAAATTAGGACACAGAAGGGGAAGAAGCAGTAGGTTCTAGGATTGTTTTAGAGCTGGGAGAGAACAGACTTAGGGAGAAGCGGAGGCTGGACTGAATCCTGCCTGACCAAGTGGGTCACAATCACTTAGCACATCAGCCACCACAATACTCTCATGGGCACTGGTACATCTGACCCTCCCCATCAACTCTGCTGGCCATTTTTATCCCCATTTTAGCTGTGGAAACTAAGGCCCAGGTGGATGAGTATTATACACCCTAGACAGTGGTTCCTGGCAGATAAGAGTGAAGGAGGGAACAGAAGGGGGTACAGCGGATATGCTTTCTGGTTGGGCAGAAGGGCCAGACTACCTTCATGAGACAACAAACAATCCCATCTCAGAACAAGTTGGGATCCAATCTCTTTATTTTCAGGGTCCCCTCCCTGAACCCCACCCCCTACCCCTCTCCAAACCTATAGAAAAACCACAAGCCTGGGAGTGTCCTGGGCAGAGTGTGGGGGAAACTCTGTGCTCTGCCCTCTGGCCTGGGCAGTGCCAACAGATAGGGTGTGTGGGGATGGGAGGCCGATAACTCCACCTGCAGAGGATCTTGCTCTGGCTGGGATGCATGGGGGATGAGATGCCTGCTGCCAACTCTCCTCTGGGACCTGCTGGGGTGGCATCCAGGGGTGGGTGCCCAGCTTGAGGCCCGGTACAGTGCACACCCTTCTCCTGCTGATGGCCATCGCTCCTGTCAGACTGAGAAAGAGACAAATGAGAGACTAACTGTGCTCTTGAAAACAGAGGTTTGGAAGAAGGGCAGAATGATGTTTGCTGCTTACAGACAGAGGTATGCCTGTGCTCTGGCTCTGGCCTCATAATTTTCTGGCCATGCAGCTTTGGTCAAGTCTCTTCCCCTTCCTGAGCCTCCACTTCCTGCCTGAGCTTCTGCACTTCACCTGCAAACTGGCTTAACAAGGCAAAATGTACTCTCTCTGGTTAAACAAACCATGAAGCTCCAAGAGAAAAAAAAATGCATGTATGGAATTTCCTAAACTTAACTGTCTGAGAAGCCCTTGTTGGTGAAGTATCTCAAAGCAGGAATGTATCATGTATAAAGACACCTCTGTTGTTTGAGGCCTTCCTCCCACCCAAGCCTGTCTAACTCTGAACACAGCTCCCAAAAGAATGGGGCAGAGTGTTGGCAGAGCTGGGTGGTAAACACTAGCCAGAGTGGGCTTTGAGGCCACATACCACTAAGTTCAAATCTAGGCCCCACCAATCGCCACCTTGGGATCTTTTGTGAGATATGTGGTTTATCTCTCTGCCCTCCTCCTTCAGTGCCTCAGTTTCTACATCTGTTATATTATTAGCACAATCACAGCCTGTGGGGCAGTGCCAGGGCATTTCCACCCGAGAGGATCAAGTCTCATCCCTAAGCTTGGCATAACCTCACCCTCCGATATGAGCAGCAACCTCTCCCAACTATACAGAGCTGGGACGGCAGCCACAAGAGACCCCTGGGCATTTCCCACACACTGAAGACTCCAGAGCTGTGTGCCTCTGCTCAGGGTGCTCCCTCAGATGCTTCTCCCTCAATCCTGAACAGGCTCAGCTACGTATCACCTCTTCCACCACAGCCCTCTTTGACCCCCTCACCCCCGGCTCCCTGGCCTGTGTTCCTGCTCACACTGGATGGTGATGGTTTGAGTATTCTTCCAGAAGAGAGGACTGTCAAAGGTCCTCAAGGGTGCAGACAGGCACCATGGCTCAGTGTGCCAAGGGACCCCTGCTGATAGGCCTGGCTAGCCCATCGATGGCTCTTACTCCCACAGCCTACCAAAGCCCCACCACAAAGAGGCATGGTGAGATGGCTGGGGCCAGAGGGGCCTTCATTGCTGGACACAGCACTACTCTGCCAAGTCTGCTTCATGGCAAGCCCTCCACTTCACCTAACCCCTTGCCCACCAGGACCGCCGTACCTGCTTACTGCAAGGCCCCATCCTCTGCATCTGTGTCCTGGCTGTGCTCCTGATAGGGAGGAGGCAACAAAAGACCACACATCACTCACTGCAAGCTCTGAGTCCTGCCCTGAGACCCAGAGCACATCTGGAAGCCACATTCAGAAAGGGGGAGGGACAGCCAAGGGAAATGACTATGGGACCAGTGTAAACAAGATTGATTTGGGATCCCAACAGGGTGGACTGGATCCCAACAGGGGGGCCTCTCAGGAGAGAGAAGGGGCCAGTTAAGGAAGTTCTATGTGTGGCAGGGGGCACATTTCTGCATAGAAAGACCTCATATTGGAACGGGCTAAAAGCCTAGTAAGACTGGTGAACTCTCCACCTTTGGGACATCTAAGCCTTTGTTATAGCCTTTATGAAGACTACTATACCCAAACGAGTAAGCCAAAGTATCAGGCTAGGTTCAAAGAAGAAGAAGTGAGCTGGACATTGTGGCCATGAACCCATCTGTCCTCACACCAGAACCAGCAGTGATGAAAAGGAGAAAGATCCAGACCTAGTGAAGAAGACTGGGCTCCAATCCTGGCTCGACCCTTATTAGCTATAAGGCCCTGGGCAAGCTCCTTGACCCCTCTAAGCCTCAGTTTCCTCACAGGGTAAAACATGGGAAGAGTAATACTTTGCACAATGCAGGGCTGTTGTTAAGGTTAAATGAAGTCACAAAGTGTGGACTACAGGGCCTATGCTCAGTGAGTGTTTCTTAGGTAAACAAGTAGTAAGCACACGACAGATACCTTACCGACTCCGAATCTGGTCTACCTTTCCACTTAATATAAGCTCCTTGCCAAATGGCTTTCTACCCTCCCAGACAGGGAACTCCCTCGATCCCTTATGAGACTGTCTCTTTTATGCTCAGGCAACAATGGCTTTTAGAAAATCATCAGGTAGAGTGGATACCTACTTCCCTGTGACTTCCCCAGGAAACCCCAGTCCTGTTCCCTGGAACTCTGTAGACTGTATGCGCTTCCTGAGCTCCTTACTCTTCCCTGGACTCAAGAGAGGTCTGCCCCAGACCTTGGTGGGCCTGCTGCCTGGTGGCTGAGATAGGCAACTACTCCCTGCTCATTCTCCACCTTCCTCACAGGACTAGAGCCCCTGGAAAAAAGAAACCAGCTCAGAGGTTCCCCCTTCCCCTGCTTCAACTAGGAGTGAAAAGCCAGCCAGTCCCAGCCCCTGCAACCATGCCCTCACCAGCTCTTCCTCGCTGTGCGTCAGCAGCCCCTCCTCATCGCCATCGTCTGGAGCTTGTGCTTCTCTCTGGGGTGTGCCTGCTTCAGAAACTGTGTCTTCTTGGGGGACTGGGGGCCGGTTGCTGCCACCAGTATTGCCGCTGCCACTACCACTGCCACTGTCGCTCTTCTTCTTGCCATCTTGAGGGAAAAGGGGTGGTGAAGAGGAGAATAAAACTTAGCCTGGGCCAGCTTCTCAGGGCAACACTGCAGCAGAAGCTAAGTCTCAACATAGGTGGGATTAGAGGCCACAGCCCTCACCTTTCTGCCCCATGCACTGTCCTCCCCCCCTCCCTTTGCTCTAGGCCCCTGGTCACTTGAACCAGGGCAAGGACCCTTGGAAGCTGACCTGGGTTGGCCTTCTGCTCCTCAGCAATCTGTTCTAAGCGGCCTAGCAGGGCGTCGATGTTGGATTTGATCTGCGTCAGCTCTGTCTTGATGGCCTGCAGCTCACTGCTCTTTACTGGGAGTGGAGGGAGTACAGGGCTGTCACCTGGGGGCTAGGAGCTCGATACTAACACAAGACCCTAGCCCCATTCTGTCAAATAGGAAGACAGGCCAGTGGCAGGAAATGTCCTTGTCCACAGTTCTTTTTCTGGCCAGGGAAAAGGCTATAGCTGCCTGTGGCTTCCCTTGAGACTCTCTGAAGGCCATTGCTACAGTGACCAGCTGTGCTTCTGAACCTGGATCCCCCCGCCCCCCCAACCTCTCAATTCTGAAAGGGACTGGGGCTGGATAAGATTGCAGGTGTGGGGTGTACACCGCTGTGTGCACCTGAACAAGCATTTGTCTTTGCTTGTGATATAGAGTGGTGCCTGCATTTCAAGGTGTATAAATGTGGGTATTTTACAATCAGATTTCCTGGGTGTCTGACCACATCATTTGCACACCAGAGTGAATGTGGAATAGTGGGCCTGTGTAGACCTGTCCTGTCCTTACTAGAGGAAAGATGGTACCATGTCCTCACTGGGCTCCATGTCACAACACTGGACTCTTGTGCCCAACCCAAGTCCCTCCTCCTCAAATGTCAGTCTTTTCCTCTTAGAAATATATGAAAATACTCACTTGGTTGTGTTAGAGCTGCAGAACTGTGGGAGATTTGTTCCTTTATCTATTTTCCAATGTAAAAAAATGTAATTCTATTATTTTGCTAATGACCAAAAAAAATTATTTAGGAAGAAAATAAGTCACTTACATTTGATCTTGGCTGAGCTGGTGGTGATGGCTGTGGAGCGGGCAAAGAGTTTGACAGGAATGGTGGTTTTGACACGTCGGACTAAAGGGACTGTGACACGGGGTCGCTTCATGGGGACAGCCCTGGGTACAGGCACTGGTGACAGGCGGCCCCGATAGTCGAAGAGTCTGTGAGGGCAAATGGGCCAGAGGCTGCAGCATGGCCTGTGGCCACCAGGGGTCACTGTGACTTTAGACTAACATGTATATATACATATGGCTGATGAAGAGCTGGCCTGCCTTACACACCTCTGCTTGCTCCCAACAAGCCCTGGGGAATGAAGAGAAATGGCTTTTGGAACCCTAAGAACTGCTGGGATCCTCACTACATCCATCTTTCCTACCAGCCAAGCTGGTTAAGGGCAGGTTAGGCGGCAGATGGTAATAGTTATAGTCCCATTCAACAGAGGAGTAAACAGACCAGCCCCAGAAAGGAGTCTTCCCTAGATCACCCTGACACCCAGGCCTGTTCTATTTCTGACCTAGGTTCTGACCTCAGTCAACTGCCACCTCAACCCCTGGTCAGAGTTTGCAAATCTTGCCAAAGCAGCACAAACCTTCAGCTGGGAACAGAGAGCTGTGGAACTGGAGAGCCAATCCCTTAGCCTGTCTGAGCCTCAGTTTTCCCATCTGTCTAATGAGGATGGCTATCCCAAATTCTGTGGCCCCTTCTCACCTCAAGACTGCTATCAGGGTAGAGCATGAGAGAATGTGGTTAAAATCACGTTAACTCAGATGGTGCGGCTCAGTGGATTGAGCATGGTCCCATGGACTGAGAGGCCCCAGTCAGGGCATATGCCTGGGTTGCGGGCTCGAACCCTAGTAGGGAGCATGCAGGAGGCAGCTGATGGATGCTTCTCTCTCAATAAACACATACTTAAGGGAGGAGGGTGTCAACAAGGGAAAAAGGAAAAGCATCTGTAACAAAAATAAATAAATGAATTAAAATAAATAATTAAAACATATATATATATGTATGTATGTGTGTGTATATATATATATATATATATATGAAACACATTAGAAGGTGTGTGAATGGCCAGCATACCAAGAGAAGTATGAGGCCCTTTTCTAATTCTGCATGCCCTCAGTCACTCCATCCTTACTCCACTTCAGAGATGGAGGGCAGGAGGCCCAGCAGAGTATCAAGACTGGGCAACTCAATCAGACACCCAGGCACCCAGACTATGTGCTGCCCCCGCCCCACGCCATCACCCAGCCCTCTCCAGGAGGACTTCTTTTCCTGATGATCATGCAGCTTAGTAGGCTGAGTAGGGTTCTCTCCCACATCTGCTGCTACCATCTTTCTGCAGAAACAGTGGCCTGAGGGGCACACTGTGGAATGCTTTCCTGAAGACAACCAGGAAACCTGCCATCAACAGGCAATTCAATGCCCCAAGCCTTGGCACTCCTTTGTTCAGGGAGCCCCTGCCTTGGGCTGGTGATGGCTGGAGAAGGAGAATCTCTGGGAATGGATCCAGTCCCAGACACTGCATTTCTGCCCCAAAGGGGAGGGGACAGCTCTGGCCTTGGTCAGAATCGTTGAACCACAGAATCCTAGAGCTGGAGGAGCCCTGAGGGATCATTTGCTGCAAGCCCATTTCACAGATTGAGAAGGGATTTATCCAAAGTCACATTCAGTGGCAGAGCTGAGATTAGTACCCAGGTGTTCTGACTCCCAGGCTAGGACACTTTCACACTCTTCTGAAACCATTCACAGGTGAGAAAATCAAGGTTCAGAGAGGTTCTATTCTTCTTGGACAGCTTGGGGCACAAGAAGGAGGGAGAGAAGGAGGAAGGGAGAGAAGCAGGGAGAAGTTTGGGCCAGCTTCCACCATGATTTCCACTCAAGATGTGGATGGGGCCATGGAGTGGAGACCACAGCCCCAAGGCTTGGGAGTGGAGGGTGGGCCACAGCCTACCAGGGACTAGTTCAGACTTCTAAAGGAACTCTGGCTCTTGGCTATAAAAATAAGGCCCAGCCACTCTGACTGAATTCTGAGGCCCCTTCCAGCTGGCTGGGTAACTCAGAGAGGTAAGGAGATGGAACAGCAGAAGCATAAGGGCTCAAACTCCCTGTACCAAGCCCTGTACCCTGTTTTGTATTCCAACTTGCTACTTTTATGTGTCCCTTGGCTGTCCAGTTCCATTGAGCCCCATCCCAGATTTAGGAGGAGAAAAGGGCAGTTAGAGAGTGGGAGACAGTGTGAGGTGGGGGAGCTCTAGCCTGGGCATCTGCAGAATTTTACTCTAGTCCCACCTTGGTCACCAACTTGTGGAGCAGCCTTGGGCAAATGCCTGTCCACACATATGGGCTTAGGTTCCACTCTGATACTGAATGGGCTGTACCAGCAATCTCTCAGGACCCTTCAAGCTTGGCTACTTCATGCCTGGGCGTGCCCCTCCCCTGCTCACCTGTCGTAGAAGTCGTCCCGGTAGTAATCATAGTCAAAGCTGTAGCCACTGGGGAAACAAAGGGGAGAGGGCCAGGGCTTAGGGACAGCCACTCAGCCCACTCTCCACAGGCCCTCATCTCCAAATGCCTCCCCAAATTCTAGGCTCAGCACACCATCACCACCAGTGGAAAGAGGGACCAATCCCATCCAGACAGACAAGACAGAGTGCCCCACCTGTAAATGGCAGATGCTGCTCTCTTTAACCCCTTGGGTCTGTTGGGCTTGGGCTCACCAGCCATGTTGATGTCTGTGTTAAGGGAAAAGGCAGAGTCAGATGCTGGTAGGACAGTGGGTGCCCGTACATATATCACACTTATGTAAGTGTGCAGCAATTTATGTGTACATATGATGTACCCATGGAATTTACTCACTAATGCTGCCAACAGAGGTCCTCACACATTAGACTCATACCCACACGATACAATGGATATGCCTCTTTCCATATTCATATATATTCAGACACATGCTTGCAAGCTCACAGATTACTCACACATATTCCATGTACATCACACATATGCAATATCAAGTACAATCATGTAAACATAGATAACACACCCTCACACACGTTCACATATGCAGGTAATAAGGTCACACACACACACACACACAGATAACATAGGTACTCTCAAGTACACTCAGACTTGGTTCCAATATCATATACCTAACTGCCCATATACAAGTGAGCTAATACATATTCATACAAACGTTCTAACAAACATATTTATGCCTAGAGCAGTGCTTAGCACATGATGGAATCTCAACAAATGTTTGGTAAATGAATATATGCATATATATCTGCTTACACACTCAAATATATTCTGACACATACTACATATATACATATCAAGGTACATGTCCACATATTAAATTACATCTATATACCACATACTCAGGAATATATATATATACACACACACATACATATACAAATAGCCCTTCTCAAACATACACATATACACAGAACAAACACTGTACACACTCCACAATAGACCACCAGCATGGCCACATCACATGTATATGATACCAAGGCCAAGGGCACCTGCTTGCTTCACCTTGTACTCCCAGCACCTCCTCCTGGTTCTCAAAAAGGGTTCTAACCTAAGCCATCTGTAGTCTAATGTAATAGGCTGTGCTAGTCCACTCTGGAACCATAAGCCTTGTCATTAAGAGTTACTGTCAAAGCAGGGACAGGACAGAAGTGTTTTCCAGAAGCTTCTAAAATTATCCTCCACAGGCATTGATTTGCAACTACTTAATTTATAACTTAAATAGTTATAACTTAAATAGTTATATACTTAAATAGTTATAACATCTCCAACAGGGGTAGTGGGTAGTGGTGGAGGAAAAATAAAAGGGACTAAGCGGGGAGCTGGATAGTGAAGGCCAGCACTTGCTCAGAATACCAGGAGCTTACCCAGGGTCTGCCCTGCCAGCACCCGCCCATTCTCTCCCAGCACAGCTGCTCGGGCATGGCGCTCGTTGGCATACTGGACAAAGGCATAGCCTTTGTGCACAGAACAGCCGGCCACACGGCCATACTTGGAGAAGATGGTCTCCACGTCTGACTTCTTCACCACAGCTGTATTGAGGTTTCCAATGAAGACCCGAGAGTTGATGGACTTGGGGTCGTTCTTGTTGGTTATGTTGCTTGTCTGGATCTTCAAGGACATGGTGGCCACCTGAAGAAAAAGCCACTGTGAGGCTGGGTCCACGGTTTGGGCTCACATCTTAGCTAAATAGATTTTTTGCGCCTTCATACCCCCACCTCCCACTGCATCCAGCTCCCCATTTTTGCTCATCTGATTGCTGAGCTCATGGCAGGTGCTTTACATATGTTCCCTCATTTGGTACTGACAACCAGAACCAGGATATTTTACAAGGGAGAGAACGTACATTCAGAATTCACAATGCTAGTGAATGGCAAGGCTGGGTGGGATTTGACTCCTGGTTTTCTTGATTCCAATTCTTTCAAACCCACTCCATCTTTAATGCTCATCTCAAATGGTACCACCCCACGCAAGATCTAAATCTGAAGACCTTCCACAGTTTTTTCCTATTCCTTCAATGTAGAACCATGGCCAAAAAGTTACATGGTAGCCCTGGCCAGTTTGGCTCAGTGGTTAGGGCGTTGGCCCGCGGACCCGAGAGTCCCAGGTTCAGTTCCCACTAAGGGCACATACCTTGTTTGCAGTTTGTCCCTGGCCCCTGTTGGGGTCATGTGGGTGGTGACCACTTGATGTGTCTCTCTTGCATCAATGTTTCTCTCTCTCTCTCTTCCTCCCTCTCTCCCTCCTGCTTTATCTGAAGATAAATGCAAAAATGTCCTCAGGTAAGGATTAAAAAAAAAGTCTTACTTGGTCTGCTCATTGTCATCAGTTGGTGCAACTCCCTTTGAACCATGCCTATTGCAAGACCCCATGAGTATTATCATAATTATCATTCATATTTTACCAGAAACAGACTTCATTAACATGCCAAGAATGGGCATTCAAACTCAGGTCTGTTAGTCCAGAAAGCCCATTTCTTTCAACTTTATCAATGTCCTTCCCTCCTTCCCAGAGCTAAAGCCAATTTAACTACTACAGTAAGTCAGTATATTTATCTGATAATTGTTTTCAAATATTTTTTATTGATTTTTTTTGAGAGAGAGAGGAAGGGAGAGAGAGATAGAAACATCAATATGAGAGAGATACATCAATTAGCTGCCTCCTGCATACCCCCCACCGGGGACTGAGCCTGCAACCTGGGCATGTGCCCTGACCAGGAATTGAACGGGGACTTCTCAGTCCATGGGATGATGTTCAATCCACTGAGCCACACTGGCCAGGCCTGAGAATTGTTTTTTAAAAAATTAATTTTTTACAGTTAACTACTTTTATACTAACCCATTCAAACTGTTCTAGAGATGATACTGCACTTACTCTTTGTTCTCTATACCCTGACAGTGTCTTTTACCCCAAAGGGCTGGGTGAATCTCTTCTATCCCTTCTTTCTTCATTTTTTAAATCCTCACCTGAGGATATTTTTCCACTTTTTGTTCAGATAGGAAGAGAGAGAAACATCGACGTGAAAGGGACACATTGAGTGCATGACCAACCTGGGCTGGGGAGACTGCAACCGAGGTACGCGCCCTCAGCGGGATCCGAACCCGGGTCTCTCAGGACCGCAGGACGACGCTCTACCACTGAGCCAAACTGGCCAGGGCTCTCCTATCCCTTCTTAAATAGGGTACATCTGGTACAGGTTCCAAAGTGAAAGGGAAAAAGAAGCTCGATTTCTGTAGGAAAGGCTTAATGTTAAGCCTTGACATTTATACTTCTTGGCTCAGTCTTCTTTCTGCTCAATGGCATGGGTTGGTGCAACTCCCTTTTAGAACATGCCTATCTCAATACCCCACCTAGAGCTATTTCAGAAGGTGCTAAAGACCCTCAGCCATATGTATAAAACTCTCACCAGTGTAAGTTAACTGTAAACTCCTATTTACCTAATATTTTTGGGCAGGGGGAGCTTCTTTTTAGTGAAATAGAGAAGAGCTAAGTATAAACTGGGAAATCTGTGTCTTGTCCCATTAGGGTAAGAGACACTCCACAATTCTCCCAGCCTGGAAGCTGGCCTATTATGACCAGCAGATGGCACTGTTTGCAAGGGAACCATAGGCTGGACCTGAGCATTCTGGAGAACCAGCTCCTAGGGTGGGCTTGCAGTAGCTCCAAGGATATAGTGGGGTCAAGTGTGCCATCGTAGCTAAAGGAAGCCTGAGAGGGTACTACTATTGATGAAGGGGCTGGGGCCAGCTTTGGAAATGGCCTGGGAGGGACAGACTTTTTTGTTACCCAGTTTCCCTTTGCATCCATTTATCAACATTTATTGAGCAGTGAGGGACACAACAGAGACCAATGAAAACACCCAGTCCAGCTGGTGTGGCTCAGTGGTTGAGTGTCGACTCATGCACCAAGAGGTCGCCGGTTCCATTCCCAGTCAGGACACATGCCCAGGTTGTGGGCCTGATCCCCAATGGGGGGCATGCAGGAGGCGGTCCGTCAATGTTCTTTCTCATTGATGTTTTCATCTCTCTCTCCCTCTCACTTCCTCTCTCTCTAAAATCAATAAAGGAAAAAAAAAATTAAAACAAAACACCCAATACACTGTCCATATGCAGCAGGAAATGGTTGACATTTGTGGTTTCCCTTGGGCTCCCCATTCCTTACAATTCTCTCTGACATCCCTTTCCTACCTGGATAACAAGCCACTCAAAGGTTAATGCTTTGTCCATCTGTGGGTATACAAGAAGTTTGTGGGGCTTCTCCATGGTAATCAGATAACTCTCCTGGTTGATTCAGCTCAAAACCATGAAGTTTTGGCCCAGGGAGATGCTATCTGCTTTGGCTAGAGGGGACCAACCAGGCCTGGGGTATAGACAGAGATAGAAAGAGGAGAGGGGATTATGATTCAGAGATTTGTTGATGACTGCTGGCTCTGCAACTGATCTTGTAGGGACATGACAGTTGCTGGGTTCCGTCAGACCTCTGCCAGAATCCTCTAACACCACTGAGCACCTGTGCTTGGTAATACAGTGGGATCAGCACTCACTGCTTGGCTGGTGAGCTAAGTCCTTGTGCTTTAGCCGTGGCCCTGCTCCGTCTTTTCTCTCATCACCTGGGGTTTGGACAATGCACATAAAAGGACTTTGCAAACCATGAAGTTTTTTACAAGATCTAATAATTACTCTGATTAGGTTCAGCCTCTCTGTTCTATTAACACTACCATGTGTGGGTTCATTCTAGATGAGGGTCAAGGTCAGACAAGAGCACATTTTGAATGACACCAAGGATAGACAGCCAGAAGCCATGTCACATGAAGGTCAGTTTTCTGATCTGTAGAGAAGAGACTTGGGAAGTGTATGTATGTGGCCGCTCGGGATGAGGAATCTGCAGAGCCAAGGAGAAATGTCCACCTGAAGCATGCTCTAGGCACCCAACCCCTAAACTTCCCCATCTAAACATCCTCCAATCTGCTTTCCAGGCCTGCACACTCCTTGGAGGTAGGCTGTGCTGATCTTGTGTGTATTCCCTAAGTCCAAGGGGATAGGAATCTATGGGGCTATGGAAAAGCTCAAGTGTTTACATACATGTCCATGAAGCTCCTCAGAGGGAGGGATGGAGTTGGGGGTGAGAAATGGAAAGGAAGCATGCCCAGACTAACTCCCAGAACTGCTAGGTTCAGGTAAAGAATCCCAAAGAGTTAAGAATTGTAAATTCAGACATGGTCTTCCAGATTGTTATGAACATAACAATTTGCTAGCTTCACTTACAAGTTTCTAATATTTAGACACATAGTACGTGGGTCTCTTGCAAAAGTTAGAAATAGGCCTGACAAAGCCTGGGGCACAGTAAGTGCTCAATAAATGTTAGGAAGATAAGGTGAAGATAATGTCCCAGGAGGTGAGGTAAAAGGGGCTAGTTGGTGGCCCTGCCATTAAGTGGCAGGGAGACCACTGGGGGCTGAGGTCCCATGCACTTTTTTTGGTCTCTGACTCAAACACCTCCCTCCCCAGACGAACCATCCCCAACTCAGTATTTCCCACATTTTGGACTCTTCCAGCCTTTTCCCTTAGAGTGAGAGCCCTGGAAAACATTGACATCCTATTCAGCAGAAGCTGCTTGACTCAATAAGCTATTTTCTCCCCTGGGCTAAACTCTGCCTCACAGATTAGCTGTGTAATTGAGAGGAAGGTGTCTGCAGCCCCCAGAGGCCGCATGTTTAGCAATGAGCTAAGGAGAGATTGGTAGAGGGATTGTTCTTGGTGGTGGTGGTAAGGAGGGGAGGTAGAACCAGAGACTTTTGAAATGTCAGATTATCAGGGACCTTATTGAGCATGGAGCTTATATGTCCCCACAGTGAGGAACAGGGAGGAATGGACTTGACCAGGATGCCACAGCCATGAGTAGTAGCGCCAAGAAGCCCATGGGTCCTCTGATTCTAAGTCTAGGGTCCTTACATTCCATTTTTCCTTTTGGGCTGGTATGAGACAAGCCCCTAGGACAATGAAGAGCTGGGAGGGAGGAGTCTAGATATGCTATGTTTGAGAAAACTAGGGACTGGCTCCCAAGTAAGTGTCTACATCTTTACCTGCTAGAAAAACAATTGCTGCAGAAAAGCTGTGTCTTTAAGCTAATTAAAACCCACCAGGGACACAGGCTTTGAAATGCAATTTACAGCTCAAAGGGATGGCCTAGCTTCTCCAGGCTAATATGAATAGAAGAAATTTGGCAAAACAAATCATTTTCCCCAGTTGAAACATTTCAGATAGAAGCTATGTTTTGGAAGACAAGAGGGGAAGTTTAGGTTCAAACTTAAACAAGGGGTGAAGTGGCAGGGTTTTGTAAAGGTAGAAAAGCACTAAAGGGTACCTCAACCCCCAAACTTTAGGTAATGAGACCCCCAGAGGGCCATTCCAGTAAGAATAGCCTCTAATTACTGAGTGGCAACTATGGGTAGAGACTTTACATACATCACCTTATTTAATCCTCACAACATCCTTTTGAGGAGGCATTTTAGATAGGGACAGGAGGCTCAGAGAGGCAAAATAATTGATTAATAGAGCAAAGCCAGAACTGGAACCCAGTCTGTTTAACTCCAAAAACCTATGCATAGAGATGTTTTGGGTACTTATTTCCAT